TGCTGCCTGTTTAAAAACATTTGACACCTCACCACCATCAAGACTGAAGTTAATTATCCTGTGCATGACAGTGGGGACGACATTCATCAGCCCAAGGAGGACATCCATCAGCCCAAGGAGGACATCCATCAGCCCAAGGAGGACATCCATCAGCCCAAGGAAGACATCCATCAGCCCAAGGAAGACATCAATCAGCCCAAGGAAGACATCCATCAGCCCAAGGAGGACATCCGTCAGTCCAAGGAAGACATCCATCAGCCCCAGGAGGACATCCATCAGCCCAAGGACGACATCTATCAGCCCAAGGAGGACATCCATCAGCCCAAGGAGGACATCCATCAGCCCAAGGAGGACATCCATCAGCCCAACGAGGACATCCATCAGCCCAAGGAGGACATCCATCTGCCCAAGGAGGACATCCATCAGCCCAAGGAGGACATCCGTCTGGACTGGGTCTAACTCGCAAGTAATTTCCTTGGAGTTAGTTATTAGACTCAGAACCTAGTTTTTAGTTAAGGGTTGAAATTTGCACATCTTGAATTTAGTAGATATCTGCATTCCCAATATATTCTGATCACTTGGAACGAAGGCTTTTCTGATAGTAGTTACCATCTCAGTGAAAAATTAGTTGAAATCTTCTGCCAAGGGTTCATCACTATCTGCATCGGGAAGTGTAAAGTCTTTTTCTTTCCCAAGAAGCTTGAACACTTGGATCCACATAACTTTTGGCTTGTTAAGATTTGACAGAATGGTTTCATTGCGAAATGCTCTATGTACATTATCCCGCACATGCTTGTATAGTTCTCTAGTTCTATGTGAACACTTTCGCCAGCTTCTTTCAGCGATCCGCCGTGACTGTTTAGCTTCCCGTATTTCCTCACAGTACCATGGGTTACTGGACCTACAGCGGACTGTCTTCATGACTGGAGGTGCATATTTGTCCAGAAGACCTGCGAGTATAGAGTTGTACAGGCCCGTCAATACATGTACATCTTTTGGAGTATTTGTTACAAGCTCACTACCAAGGAGATCCTTCTTGAAGGCATCCATGATATTACGACATAATACAGATTTCCTTGATGTCGGGGGTTGCATTAAACAAACATTAAATCCAATCCAAAAATGGAAAAATATTTGGCACATTAATGCTAGATAGAAAAACGAACATTATTATCTAAACATTTCCTGATAATTTTAAACACATGACAAGGCAAACATAAATAATGTAAAGTTTCCTGAATTTACCTGAATTACTTGATTGACAGTGGAATGCGTTTCATATAAGGAACCTGAATAAATCGTTAAATTAGCGCAAACCTATTTCAATATTCTTCCTATTTCTCATAATTATCTGACTTTATATTCCTATATTTGTATCGGCAATAATCAGCACGACGACAAAATTCAAAACATTTCTAAGCAAAAATAATCGGAAACGTTTGTCGTAAACAAATCGTAATTTCGATGTCATCACATATTTTATTCAAATGGCACTATTACGTTTATTCCAACGTGTCATGTCATGAAAATTGCAGAAATAAATATATGATTTATGATTATTCACGAGTCCAAATTTCAAGTGTTATAGTTCATTATTTTCGACACAAGCCCACAGAAAACCAGTGTTGCACCTTGTTACACGTACGAAGAACAAACACGGCGAGCTTCGTCCAACTCGAACATAACATATTGCTATTTTGATAAGAACAAAGTTTACAGGACTAACATGTATAAGCCCTGGCGAAAGTTGAAGAATTTCTCATTCTACAAGTGCTTCTTTTATCATTTTCAGGTTTATATGACAAGAGTGAAACAAAAATTAATATCGCGAAATCTAACTTGTTTTCTGGTAAGTGCAAAGGTCACCGGATGTGATGTCACAGGGGTTGTCTTTCGTTATTGAATACTAACAGTAAATTCGGAGATATTTCGTCTGGCAAACCCATATTTATCACAAATCACTATTTAGAATGATTAATCATAGCTCACAGGAACAAAACATTGTGTTTTTGACTATATAATTGGAATATCACGGAGCCAGTTTGACCTTGTATGATCCCGTGACCCGGAAACAGTAGTCGATCAACACTCTACTTGCAAGTTTCACAGTATCTTTTATTTGAACATTTGTTGATATTAGGACCACCACTTTATTCTACACTGATCATGCAGATAAGAAACATATAATTGTGAGGCATGTTGATGCTAGTTTGTTAGTTTTTGTACTTTGTCCGACGCAACAACGTTTACAAACAGTGGCATCAACAACATGTGCGCGGAAATGGGCTTGACAAAATTTGTGTTTCAAAATAACCGTCGTGCTTTTCTTATTGTGACAAAATATGAAGCATGATGCATATGCATTATATTATATACTAAAATATAGAATCAATTATAGTTTCACGTGAAATTAGGGATGATTTAATAATTGTGTGTTCATATTACGTATATGCCAGATTTATAGTCTCACTTCAAAACATTTTGTATTACACATCTAAATTTATGCAATGAATTATAATCCTTGGTGAATAATGATGATAGATTTGTTATGCTTAATGTTTCACAGCTGGTTACACCTTTTTAACATTTTCATATATTTTCATATGTTAATTATTATAAATAATATGATTAGTATTTTTGTCTCCCAAAATCCAAATGGTCATGGGTAAAGGCACTAAAGTTATATCCATGCATTAGCAAAGTGTAAATAACCAAGTTTCAATTACTTTTAGTGATGTGGAAAACTAACAATTGTACATAATTATTTAATACAACTATACCATAAAATATATGGATAGATGTTTCATATTATTTTGTGTATTTTGTTTCCATACAATATCTATGTATTTGATATTTTCGTTGCCACATATATATGGCAATAACAAATACAAATTGAAATCTCAATAAATTAGCTCGAAACTGGACAACAAAAATCATGTATTGCAGGGCTCGATTTTGGGAAAGGAAACCTATATGCCCCTGGTGCCACTTACATGATTACCTTGATGCCTCAGACAAAAACAGGTTGCACCTCCTGCTCAATACATAATTATCTATTTCTTGTGGTTTTGATATTGCTGATTCACAGCATCATTACAGCATATTATTCTGTGTCTGGTATGATAATTTTATATTGCTTTATACAATTTCATGACATGAAAAAAAGGTTAATTCTGTCAATCGCTGTCAGTGTAATCATTGCCCCAAGCCAGTTTGGGTCATCAGTCTGTTTCCCAGATGAAGTCTGTTTTTTCAACAGCAAAATATGAACATTCACAGTGTGCAAGTAGATATAAATATGAGGTTACATTTTGCAGTTTTAGCTTGAACCATTGCAAATTCTTGATGCTAAATCGAGCAATGCACTGGGTCACTTGACCAGTAATTTTTAAAATAAAAATGGACACACGTCAAACAATGTGACAAACTAGTAGGTAGAATTAAAATTTTGAAAGCTCTGCTTTTTGAGGCAACAGAATTCTTTCAATTTTGCTCCAACCTGGAGAACAAAAGATGTGATGTTTAGCTGTTTGAATGTCTAAAATAAATACCGATTGTGAGTGAAATACATTCACGCAGCCTATGACTATTTTTTTATCCCGTCATTCCAATTTTTAAGAAATCCATTTACATCACATTCTTACACTAGATCTGGTTTCATCCGTTTGTGTGAAAGGAAAATGCATGCATGACATCTTCAATCACCAGAATTGTCCTTGTGACGACAGACACATAACAATATTATGTTGTTGTTATGACATACTGACATTTTATAATATCTCCCCGTGTCAGAACATTATTCGGAAGTCATCGACCGCGAGATCCATTACGACTTCGAATTTGTAAAAATAAAGACCTACGCACCAGCGGCAAAATTGAGGGGACAAAATATACAACGCAAGCAAAAAATACCAACTACTTTTGAAAAGAGCTATAAGTAACGAATTGAAGGTGATTGAAAACTTAATTCTATTATATATGTTGGATTTTACGGGAAATTGAATCGATTTAGAAAATGTATCAATGGCCGTTTTCCAACTCGTGCCTATTTTACCTCCATGAGTGCCATGCCGTACGTGCTTCCGGTTTCATCAAGGGTGGGTACAATTACATATATTGTGATACTGTTTCATGATCTGCATTATTTAGGCATTGAGTTGTTTTCTTTGAATGTTTTTGAGTTCAGATTCTGCTTATGAACGCGTATTTTCAAAAATCCTTCGTGTCTTGTCACCTGAAAAAAACGTGAGTTTGGCCACGCCCTTACGTGTCACCTACGGCTATCAACAATGTAAGCGTCGGAAGTTTATCAAACAAAATCATTATAAACTCGATAAATATGATAAATTTGTTACAAAGACAATAGCATTTACCTAATCAGACAATGTCATTAATTCCGGCGAAAATAGTTTGATCTATCAAAAGGATGGCACATATTCGGTATCACGATGCATGTGGAGTTGTTTGTTTACTGCCGTTGCCATGATCGTTCCTATTCGTCCAATCGGTGATGTACCATTGACATTTTTGTTGTTTATAAATAATTAAACCGAGAGTTACTAATTTTTAGAAAAAGGGAAACTTCAGTGTTTTCCCTTCACCAAAGATCAAAAATATTGATCAAATTATTAAGAAAATATTAGACTTAATTACCACTCGATGTGATGTGCCTGAAGTAAAAAATGGCCGTTATTTGCAGGCTGTGTGCCGAGAATTTTGGCTAACAATTTTTTAGTTCGCGGGCGTTCCGTTTTAAGGTGCATACACTTATTGAAGATTATAAATTATAGAAAGCTGGGAAATTCATGCATTCCATACATAATTCAAATGACACATAAATCAGACTTGTTGAATAATTATTGCAAGTTTTATTTGGGGATGTCATTATGCTGCTCTCCTGTCGAATGGGTTCGACAGTAGCATTGAGAGGGTTAAAGCCATTTGCCTTAAGAGTTGAAATACATTTCTTGGCATCAGGCTTATTCGGCTCACCACCCTCGTAGCGCCACCCTCATGATCTACTTTCAGCTGTAATCACTTTCTTCATGTGTTCAACTGCACTTTCCTACCTAGAGTTCCATGCGACCAGCATAGCACCTCTGCCACGGGCCAGAGAGATGTGATGATTCGTCACATCTCGTACAGTCCATTCAATATATTGTATATATTTCATACACTTTCATTTTTGACGAGTCAAGACATCTAGTTAATCTTAATTGATTGAATGGTTTACTTTCACTGAGAACATATCCAAAAACATGTAACACTATTTCGACTTGCGTAGCGATCCTTGGTTTACATAGGTTATGCGGTTCCACGTGCTGTCATCGAAGCCCTATGCAGACCTAGCGATGTCGTAACTTTGATGGATAAATATGTATTGTCATGGATCTGACCGCCTCAACTGTAGGAGAATATCTACATTGTATATAACAATGTAAAACAATATGAAGAGCGCACCGAAAAGCTTGCATAATGTCAGACTCTTCTGATTTACGTGTATGTACGTTTGTTTACAAACAAGGGAAAAGTCCGGTCACGTGATATGCAAATTAGCCTATGGCAGTGATGATATGCTAAGTCATCACTGCGCCGGAGTGTGGTTCAAATGAACTTAAAACAGTGGAAGGAGTACAGATTCTGTTTAGCTTTAACTGCAACACCTCCTCCCATGGCTGTTAGTCGTGGTAACTGTTTGAGTTCGTAGCTCTTTGGAACTAGATCAACTAAGACAGTTTCATCACCGGCTCGTTTTAACCAGTTGATCCACCAATTGCTGTCGTCCCCCGTTTCTCGCCACGTCGGCAGCTGTCTGTCCTTCGTTGTTCCTGGTGTTGACGTTCACCACGTTCAGGGACAGTATCAACTCCACCGTCCCCGCATCATCTCCCTGACAGGTCAAGTGAAGGATGTTGTTATGGCCAATGTCCACCAATGACACATCAGCTCCTCTACTCAGTAAGAGCTCCATCACATCTCTGTGTCCCCGCTCTGCTGCCATCATCACAGGTGTCATGTTCCTCTCTCCTCTACAGTTGACGTCCAACACGTTCTGGGACAGGATCAACTCCACCGTCCCCACATCTCCTCCATAACAGGCCAAGTGAAGGGTGTTGTTACCGTCATCGTCCACCAGTGACACATCAGCTCCACTACTCAGTAGGAGCTCCACCATATCTCTGTGTCCCTCACCAACTGCCGCCATCACCGGTGTCGTGTTACTCCCTCCTCTACAATTGACGTCCACCACGTTGAGGGACAGGAGGAACTCCATCGTCCCTACGTCTCCTCCCTCACAGGCCCAGTGAAGGATGCTGTTACCGCCACCGTCCTCCAGAGACACATCAGCCCCTCTACTCAATAGCAGCTCCACCACATCTCTGTGTCCCGACCTTGCTGCCCACATCACCGGTGGCCCAGATCCAGGACACGCTTCACCTCGGCCATGTTCCCATCAAGGCAGGCAGCAAGGAGGTCGTCGACATGTCCGGGGTCGGAGTCCTTCTGTATCACTGTAACAGAAACTTGTACATTGCACACGTGATGTCACTGTCTATCAATACAATACAGGAAATTCCTGTCCATTGTACACGTGATATCACTGTGACGTTTGGTGCAGATCTAACGTCAAGAATAGTGCTTATCTACTGAACGAAGACACGTAATAAAAATTCTGTATTTACTGTTTCACCATAAACTTCTTCTCAGTAACTTATCCTGATCGGTGATACAAGTGTTGACACTGGCGTGACATTCCAGTACCACATTCTTGCCTACTGCTCTCACCTCCTAGAAGTGGAGCAACTACTTATCCTGATCTGTGATACAAGTGTTGACACTGTCGTGACATTCCAGTACCACAGTCCTACCTACTGCCCTCACCTCCTTGACGTGGAACAATAACTTATCCTGATCTGTATAACAAGTGTTGACACTGGCGTGACATTCCAGTACCACAATCCTGCCTACTGCTCTCACCTCCTTGACGTGGAACACTTCCACCAGCTTGCGACACTTTGCCGGTGGTTCCCCTCTCCATCACGTCACTCGAGGCTGAAGAAAAACAGTTGGGTTTCAGAAACGACAGACAGTAGTTCCATGCATTATACTCAGTTCATGATTAGTAATAGATTTATAAATCATGTGCAGTTGCATTTTAGGATTGGGGCTAGTAACATTAAAACCATATGCGTATGTTGTAACTACAGGGTCTTGGCAGAGACCATTTATTATTTATACGAGACCCTGTATTTTTAACTACACGCACAAGACCTATATATTATATCAAGTCGTTATATCCTTTTGTAATCGACCTTTTTATTCGTCATGATTAAGTACTAGCTCTATACATTATATTCAGTAGATCTACATACAATATTTCCAGTTGTTTTTATTACTAGATCTACACACAATATGTCCAGTTGCTGGTTTAGTACTAGATCGACATACAATATATCCAGTTGGTAGTTTAGTACTAGATCAACATAAAATATATCCAGTTGGTGGTTTAGTACTAGATATACACACAATATATACAGTTGGTGTTTTAGTACTAGATCTACACACAATATATCCAGTTGGTGGTTTAGTACTAGATCTTCATACAATATATCCAGTTGAGGGTTAAGTACTAGATCTACACACAATATATCCAGTTGGTTGTTTAGTACTAGATCTAAATACAATATATCAAGTTGGTTGTTTAGTACTAGATCTACACACAATATATCCAGTTGGTGGTTTAGTACTAGATCTACATACAATATATCTAGTTGGAGGTTTAGTACCAGATCTACATACAATATATCAAGTTGTTGGTTTAGTACTAGATCTACACACAATATATCAGTTGGTGGTTTAGTACTAGATCTACATACAATATATCTAGTTGGAGGTTTAGTACTAGATCTACATACAATATATCCAGTCGATAGTTTAGTACTTGATCTACATACAATATATCCAGTTGGTGGTTTAGTACTAGATATACATCAATATTTCCAGCTGGTGGTTTAGAACTAGATCTACTTACAATATATCCAGTTGGTGGTTTAGTACTAGATTTACATACAATATATCCAGTTGGTGGTTTAGTACTAGATTTACATACAATATATCCAGTTGGAGGTTTAGTACTTGATCTACACACAATATATCCAGTTGATGGTTTATTACTAGATCTACATACAATATTTCCAGCTGGTGGTTTAGAACTAGATCTACATACAATATATCCAGTTGGTGGTTAGTACTAGATTTACATACAATATATCCAGTTGGAGGTTTAGTACTACATCGACATACAATATATCCAGTTGATGGTTTAGTACTACATCTCCACATAATATATCAAGTTGGTGGTTTAGTACTAGATCTACATACAATATATCCAGTTGGTGGTTAAGTACTAGATCTATATACAATATATCCAGTTGGTGGTTTAGTACTAGATCTACATACAATATATCCAGTTGGTGGTTTAGTACTAGATCTTCATACAATATATCCAGTTTGTGTTTTAGTACTAGATCTACACCCAATATATCCAGTAGGTGGTTTAGTACTAGATCTACATACAATATATCCAGTTGGTGGTTAGTACTAGATTTACATACAATATATCCACTTGGAGGTTTAGTACTACATCGACATACAATATATCCAGCTGGTGGTTTAGTACTAGATCTACATACAATATATCCAGTTAGTGGTTTAGTACTAGATTTACATACAATATATCCAGTTGGTGGTTTAGTACTAGATTTACATACAATATATCCAGTTGGAGGTTTAGTACTTGATCTACACACAATATATCCAGTTGATGGTTTAGTACTAGATCTACATACAATATTTCCAGCTGGTGGTTTAGAACTAGATCTACATACAATATATCCAGTTGGTGGTTAGTACTAGATTTACATACAATATATCCAGTTGGAGGTTTAGTACTACATCGACATACAATATATCCAGCTGGTGGTTTAGTACTAGATCTACATACAATATATCCAGTTGGTGGTTTAGTACTAGATTTACATACAATATATCCAGTTGGTGGTTTAGTACTAGATTTACATACAATATATCCAGTTGGAGGTTTAGTACTTGATCTACACACAATATATCCAGTTGATGGTTTAGTACTAGATCTACATACAATATTTCCAGCTGGTGGTTTAGAACTAGATGTACATACAATATATCCAGTTGGTGGTTAGTACTAGATTTACATACAATATATCCACTTGGAGGTTTAGTACTACATCGATATACAATATATCCAGCTGGTGGTTTAGTACTAGATCTACATACAATATATCCAACTGGTGGTTTAGTACTAGATCTACACACAATATATCCAGTTGGTGGTTTAGCACTAGATCTACATACAATATATCCAGTTGGTGGTTTAGTACTAGATATACACACAATATATACAGTTGGTGTTTTAGTACTAGATCTACACACAATATATCCAGTTGGTGGTTTAGTACTAGATCTTCATACAATATATCCAGTTGAGGGTTAAGTACTAGATCTACACACAATATATCCAGTTGGTTGTTTAGTACTAGATCTAAATACAATATATCAAGTTGGTTGTTTAGTACTAGATCTACACACAATATATCCAGTTGGTGGTTTAGTACTAGATCTACATACAATATATCTAGTTGGAGGTTTAGTACCAGATCTACATACAATATATCAAGTTGTTGGTTTAGTACTAGATCTACACACAATATATCCAGTTGGTGGTTTAGTACTAGATCTACATACAATATATCTAGTTGGAGGTTTAGTACTAGATCTACATACAATATATCCAGTCGATAGTTTAGTACTTGATCTACATACAACATATCCAGTTGGTGGTTTAGTACTAGATATACATCCAATATTTCCAGCTGGTGGTTTAGAACTAGATCTACTTACAACATATCCAGTTGGTGGTTTAGTACTAGATTTACATACAACATATCCAGTTGGTGGTTTAGTACTAGATTTACATACAATATATCCAGTTGGAGGTTTAGTACTTGATCTACACAACAATATATCCAGTTGATGGTTTATTACTAGATCTACATACAATATTTCCAGCTGGTGGTTTAGAACTAGATCTACATACAAACATATCCAGTTGGTGGTTAGTACTAGATTTACATACAATATATCCAGTTGGAGGTTTAGTACTACATCGACATACAATATATCCAGTTGATGGTTTAGTACCACATCTCCACATAATATATCAAGTTGGTGGTTTAGTACTAGATCTACATACAATATATCCAGTTGGTGGTTAAGTACTAGATCTATATACAATATATCCAGTTGGTGGTTTAGTACTAGATCTACATACAATATATCCAGTTGGTGGTTTAGTACTAGATCTTCATACAACATATCCAGTTTGTGTTTTAGTACTAGATCTACACCCAATATATCCAGTAGGTGGTTTAGTACTAGATCTACATACAATATATCCAGTTGGTGGTTAGTACTAGATTTACATACAACATATCCAGTTGGAGGTTTAGTACTACATCGACATACAATATATCCAGCTGGTGGTTTAGTACCAGATCTACATACAATATATCCAGTTAGTGGTTTAGTACCAGATTTACATACAACATATCCAGTTGGTGGTTTAGTACTAGATTTACATACAATATATCCAGTTGGAGGTTTAGTACTTGATCTACACACAATATATCCAGTAGGTGGTTTAGTACTAGATCTACATACAATATTTCCAGCTGGTGGTTTAGAACTAGATCTACATACAATATATCCAGTTGGTGGTTAGTACTAGATTTACATACAATATATCCACTTGGAGGTTTAGTACTACATCGACATTCAATATATCCAGCTGGTGGTTTAGTACTAGATCTACATACAATATATCCAGTTGGTGGTTTAGTACTAGATTTACATACAATATATCCAGTTGGTGGTTTAGTACTAGATTTACATACAATATATCCAGTTGGAGGTTTAGTACTTGATCTACACACAATATATCCAGTTGATGGTTTAGTACTAGATCTACATACAACATTTCCAGCTGGTGGTTTAGAACCAGATGTACATACAACATATCCAGTTGGTGGTTAGTACTAGATTTACATACAATATATCCACTTGGAGGTTTAGTACTACATCGATATACATATATCCAGCTGGTGGTTTAGTACTAGATCTACATACAATATATCCAACTGGTGGTTTAGTACTAGATCTACACACAATATATCCAGTTGGTGGTTTAGCACTAGATCTACATACAATATATCCAGTTGGTGGTTTAGTACTAGATATACACACAATATATACAGTTGGTGTTTTAGTACTAGATCTACACACAATATATCCAGTTGGTGGTTTAGTACTAGATCTTCATACAATATATCCAGTTGAGGGTTAAGTACTAGATCTACACACAATATATCCAGTTGTTTGTTTAGTACTAGATCTAAATACAATATATCAAGTTGGTTGTTTAGTACTAGATCTACACACAATATATCCAGTTGGTGGTTTAGTACTAGATCTACATACAATATATCTAGTTGGAGGTTTAGTACCAGATCTACATACAATATATCAAGTTGTTGGTTTAGTACTAGATCTACACACAATATATCCAGTTGGTGGTTTAGTACTAGATCTACATACAATATATCTAGTTGGAGGTTTAGTACTAGATCTACATACAATATATCCAGTCGATAGTTTAGTACTTGATCTACATACAATATATCCAGTTGGTGGTTTAGTACTAGATATACATCCAATATTTCCAGCTGGTGGTTTAGAACTAGATCTACTTACAATATATCCAGTTGGTGGTTTAGTACTAGATTTACATACAATATATCCAGTTGGTGGTTTAGTACTAGATTTACATACAATATATCCAGTTGGAGGTTTAGTACTTGATCTACACACAATATATCCAGTTGATGGTTTATTACTAGATCTACATACAATATTTCCAGCTGGTGGTTTAGAACTAGATCTACATACAATATATCCAGTTGGTGGTTAGTACTAGATTTACATACAATATATCCAGTTGGAGGTTTAGTACTACATCGACATACAATATATCCAGTTGATGGTTTAGTACTACATCTCCACATAATATATCAAGTTGGTGGTTTAGTACTAGATCTACATACAATATATCCAGTTGGTCGTTAAGTACTAGATCTATATAGAATATATCCAGTTGGTGGTTTAGTACTAGATCTACATTCAATATATCCAGTTGGTGGTTTAGTACTAGATCTTCATACAATATATCCAGTTTGTGTTTTAGTACTAGATCTACACCCAATATATCCAGTAGGTGGTTTAGTACTAGATCTACATACAATATATCCAGTTGGTGGTTAGTACTAGATTTACATACAATATATCCACTTGGAGGTTTAGTACTACATCGACATACAATATATCCAGCTGGTGGTTTAGTACTAGATCTACATACAATATATCCAGTTAGTGGTTTAGTACTAGATTTACATACAATATATCCAGTTGGTGGTTTAGTACTAGATTTACATACAATATATCCAGTTGGAGGTTTAGTACTTGATCTACACACAATATATCCAGTTGATGGTTTAGTACTAGATCTACATACAATATATCCAGTTGGTGGTTTAGTACTAGATCTACATACAATATATCCAGTTGGTGGTTTAGTACTAGATCTTCATACAATATATCCAGTTTGTGTTTTAGTACTAGATCTATACCCAATATATCCAGTAGGTGGTTTAGTACTAGATCTACATACAATATATCCAGTTGGTGGTTAGTACTAGATTTACATACAATATATCCAGTTGGAGGTTTAGTACTACATCGACATACAATATATCCAGCTGGTGGTTTAGTACTAGATCTACATACAATATATCCAGTTAGTGGTTTAGTACTAGATTTACATACAATATATCCAGTTGGTGGTTTAGTACTAGATTTACATACAATATATCCAGTTGGAGGTTTAGTACTTGATCTACACACAATATATCCAGTTGATGGTTTAGTACTAGATCTACATACAATATTTCCAGCTGGTGGTTTAGAACTAGATCTACATACAATATATCCAGTTGGTGGTTAGTACTAGATTTACATACAATATATCCAGTTGGAGGTTTAGTACTACATCGACATACAATATATCCAGCTGGTGGTTTAGTACTAGATCTACATACAATATATCCAGTTGGTGGTTTAGTACTAGATTTACATACAATATATCCAGTTGGTGGTTTAGTACTAGATTTACATACAATATATCCAGTTGGAGGTTTAGTACTTGATCTACACAATATATCCAGTTGATGGTTTAGTACTAGATCTACATACAATATTTCCAGCTGGTGGTTTAGAACTAGATGTACATACAATATATCCAGTTGGTGGTTAGTACTAGATTTACATACAATATATCCACTTGGAGGTTTAGTACTACATCGATATACAATATATCCAGCTGGTGGTTTAGTACTAGATCTACATACAATATATCCAACTGGTGGTTTAGTACTAGATCTACACACAATATATCCAGTTGGTGGTTTAGCACTAGATCTACATACAATATATCCAGTTGGTGGTTTAGTACTAGATCTACATACAATATATCCAGTTGGTGATTTAGCACTAGATCTACATACAATATATCCAGTTGGTGGTTTAGTACTAGATCTACATACAATATATCCTGTTGGTGGTTTAGTACTAGATCTACATACGATATATCCAGTTGGTGGTTTAGTACTAGATCTACACACAATATATCCAGTTGATGGTTTAGTACTACATCTCCACACAATATATCAAGTTGGTGGTTTAGTACTAGATCTACATACAATATATCCAGTTGGTGGTTAAGTACTAGATCTACATACAATATATCCAGTTGGTGGTTTAGTACTAGATCTACATACAATATATCCAGTTGGTGGTTTAGTACTAGGTCTACATACAATATATCCAGTTGGTGTTTTAGTACTAGATCTACACCCAATATATCCAGTTGGTGGTTTAGTACTAGATCTACATACAATATATCCAGTTGGTGGTTTAGTACCAGATCTACATACAATATATCCAGTTGGTGGTTTAGTACTACATCTTCATACAATATATCCAGTTGGAGGTTTAGTACTAGATCTACATACAATATATCCAGTTGGTGGTTTAGCACTAGATCTACACCCAATATATCCAGTTGGTGGTTTAGTACTAGATCTACATACAATTTATCCAGTTAATGGTTTAGTACTAGATCTACATACAATATGTCCAGTTGGTTTATAATTCCACTGGTTCTGTAGAGATCTGTTACTATACATAACATATTTGATGCAATACATTCAGTTGGCTTTCATAACCGGACCTATACAGTACATTCATGTGTTTTGGTGCTATAACAATCAGATACAAGGTTGTTCACTAGTCAGTTTGCCTAATCTTAAATGATGCGCTCAAAGATAATAAAGATGGGACATTGCAACATGTTTATAGTATTGATTTTATCGCCATCCACGTTACTGCATAATGTTCTGACAGTTCTACCTCCATGTTGTTCAGCTTCATCCCCGGCTCGTTGATGGGGCCCTGACTTCAAGTCACTAGACACTGGAGCAGACACAATGTTCAGGTAGTCTCCAGTTCTACCTCCATGTTGTTCAGCTTCATTCCCGGCTTGTTGATAGACCCCTGTCTTCAAGTCACCAGACACTGGAGGAGAGAATATGATACTTAGAATATTAGACTTTATGTAATCTACATTCTAATGAAGAATTGTCACAATCTGTTCCACCTTTACCCTGTCAACTGGCAATATATGAGAAACTTGGCAGATATATATAGATACTTCAACAATTAGGTTTAACACACTATTTAATGATATAATAATGGAATATTCTTGTGATGATTTTATTACTTTGATGTGAAGACGTTACACCAGCCCCGCCCGGTAGATACACCGGCCCCGCCCTGTAGATACACCAGCCCCGCCCTGTAGATACACCGGCCCCGCCCTGTAGATACATCGGTCTCGTTCAGTATTTCTGCTAGTGCACCAATTTTCTGGTATTGAACAACCAAACATCGTTTACATCACATCATGTTTCATAACAAGCGGTCTGAAGGACTTGTCAATGGTTCTGTGTTGCCGGACGGTAACAGCAAAGGTCGACCTATGCCTATTTATTTCCACATGATGTGGCATAACTAACTGATCAGATGACATTTGTGTTTCGAAACATGCACTGCACAAAAACATGAGATCCGCTATATAAACAAAGGCGTGTGTGTGTATTTGAATTGATACATTCAATATTCTCCATCTCGACACAAACCCACATCTATTTATAGACCCAGTTTTGTGTGACTGAATTCCTTCTCAACGTTCACTTTTTAGACAACAAATATGCTTCAGAAAAATAGACTCGGCAGCCAGGGTGGTAAACATACACATTTGCCGTCAAACTTTCAAATTACCTTATTAATGTCACTGACACTGAACTAATATGGCTCAATACAAATGAAAAAATAGCCCGTGGTTATGATGACTGCCTCCACATTTTCAGTTTACTTAAACCCTGACATTATATCTCATACAAGATTCACATTCCCCGCACTTCGGCCTCTCCGAAAACCTGGCCTGGTATGACCCAGTGCTAGATATATGACGTCACAACATGACGTAACTTGACAGATGCAGTTTCGCGGCAGTGGCCAGGGAGCAGGGGTTTCTTCTTTTATCTTATTTGTGAATAATTTCGTGCTTTCAAGTTTACACAGATTCCCGAACGTTGGTTGGTTGAGAGAGCGGTCATGTGATCTAAATTTCAAGGTTCATTACTCTTGAACCCCTCTAATCGTTCATACTTGTGTAAACACCGTTCATACGTGTGTGAACGTTTTTCGCTTCGGTTTCAAGGACCCCCAATAATTGGTGATACCAATTTCGCGAACGAACCTGTTTCAAGTCACCCCAAGTTTGGCAATGTCACTACCAAACGGATTGCCGAACATTGTTCCTTTCCACAGGAGTTTAATGTCTCGCAGTTTGCGGGTTCATCCGGCGGTTTTCTGCCCCGAGGTCTGTTTAACAACTGCTCAATAAATTTCACAATAAACAATCACAAATAAATAGAATACAACAAGATCTGTTTCCTATTCGCCACGCCGCACAACTTCGAAGTCGGTCAGTGTATTATTACGCGGTCAAACAAGGTATTTACAAGTGAAAAGGTACAATGCCAGTTTGTTAAAATGGTATTGTTATTGCTTCTGATATTTGTTTCTGTTTGATACTGTTATTGATTATACTTATTAAAGCAGTTTCAAACCTCATAACGAATTTGTTGTTATATTTTAAAGATCGAATACTTTGAGAACTATTTCTTCAAGGGTTGGGATACATGTGTAAAAGAAAAATCGCTGTGTATACAAACATCGCTGCAATACGTACGTTCTTGAACCGAATGGCATTACAACATTTTACAGGTATTAAATCACACTAAACAATGATCATCTACAAGTGGGTGGAAAACGTATGTGTATACTTCAAATTGCGAAATTATAAGATTGAATGTCAGTTTGTAGTTTGCACTGAAAAATGAACGATGTCAAAGCGTTGTTCAAACTCGCGCGTGAACTCGCTCGTAAACTCGCTCGTTCACACGAGTTTGAACACCGCTTTGACATCGTTCATTTTTCAGTGCAAACACACAAACTGACATTTAATTCTTAACTGACGGAAACGTGGCATGCTATATTCGTTGTTGGATTGAACTCAATATAAAAAATTGACAGTACTCTGAGGACTACAGACATTTTCAATGGCCGTACAATTTTATTAATTTACTGGCTATGGGTTTCTTGTTTTAATCAGTATCGTGTATCTATATTTATTGCTTTAGTTATAAAAGGAATTCTAAGATGCTTCGGTGAACGATCAAAGGCGCCGACAGTACTTTATCAGACGATAATGTGCACTTTTTGCATTACGTCACAATGTAATGCGATTCTAGAGTGCCCCCTCGTAATCGAATAAATTTGCATTACGTCACAATGTAACCGACGTCACGATGCATGTCAGTTGTCATCGCCTCGTACAGCCTCCTACAGTAAAGTACTCCGTTGCATCCCGTTTCGTGGTTTGCAGTTGCTTCACGCAGCTAACGTCACTGGTGGAAACATTACGTTCATGTTTTCAGGCGTTTAAAATGTCTCAATTCGACTCACAAGTTTTCAACGACACGGTAACGTTCGCAATGTTTACATTCCAACAATGCAATCGTGGAATGTCGCTCAGCTTCGTCTGGATGTACTGATCTAAACTTACGTTGGTAGTAGAAATGCGACGTTCATATGGTTTACGTTAATCACAGATGTAATTAAAATAAATCAGGGAAGATATTTAATCCGAACGTAAACCGTCATGAAACTGTTTATCATTTGTTTTTCTGGTAGCGTTTGTCTTAACGTAGGTGGGAGACACATCAATAGAACAGCGCGCCAGTTAGCCCTGTGCGAGGATTCTTAATTTAGGTCACCGACACCGTCGATTGTTTTCTGCCTTAGATTAATCGTTTTCAAAGTTTTAAATTTGGCATCTTAGAAAAGAAATACAGTTCGCTCTACCGCCATGTATAGTGTAATAAAGCAAACTTTCGCCATGAACTAATATGACGTTAAAGCACGCGGACGCAGGGAGAAAGTGTGCTTTATTACACTATACATGGTGGTAGAGCGAACTGTATTTCTTAAACAAAACAGTGCGTTGAATAGGAAATTAACGTGATAGTTTATGATTTTACAGTGTAAAGTTGGTCGCGTGATTGGATAAAGTACTAATTGAAATGTGTTTAAAGCGAAAGTATTCAACATTACAGTAAGTTCAAATCTTAAACAAATATCAAACTGTACATATGTCAACGTTTGCCAGTCAATTTCTGAACTTTTGCCAATCGATTAAATTTACTATCTGCAAAATATTTAATTACCTTAGTAGTGATAAAGAAAAGTGAAAAGATGTCTCGGCATTTTCCTGTAATATCATTGATATCATATAACAGTCAAGGCAGTTCCCAAGACTGAATTCGAAAGTGTAACTCAGCAGTTCGTCACAATGAGCAATTCAATCGGGTAGCAGTACTGTGTGGCCCAACAATAGGCATTCAATCGGGTAACAGTACTGTGTGGCCCAACAAAAGGCATTCAGCCGGGTAATAGTACTGTGTGGCCCAACCATAGGCATTCAGTCGGGTAGCAGTACTGTGTGGCCCAACAAAAGGCATTCAGCCGGGTAATAGTACTGTGTGGCCCAACCATAGGCATTCAGTCGGGTAGCAGTACTGTGTGGCCCAACACTGGGCATTCAGCTGGGTAGCAGTACTGTGTGGCCCAATAATAGGCATTCAGTCGGGTAGCAGTACTGTGTGGCCCAACAATAGGCATTCAATCGGGTAGTAGTACTGTGTGGCCCAACAATGGGCATTAAATCGGGTAACAGTACTGTGTGGCCCAACAAAAGGCATTCAATCAGGTAACAGTACTGTTTGGCCCAACAATGGGCATTCAATCGGGTAACAGCACTGTCTGGCCCAACAATAGGCATTCAATCGGGTAACAGCACTGTGTGGCCCAACAATGGGCATTCAATCGGGTAACAGTACTGTGTGGCCCAACAATGGGCATTCAATCGGTTAGCAGTACTGTGTGGCCCAACAATGGACATTCAATCGGGTAACAGTACTGTGTGGCCCAACAATAGGCATTAAATCGGGTAACAGTACTGTCTGGACCAACAATGGGCATTCAATCGGGTAACAGTACTGTGTGGCTCAACATTGGGCATACAGTCGGGTAGCAGTACTGTGTGTGCCAACAATAGGCTTTCAATCGGGTAACAGTACTGTGTGGCCCAACAATAGGCATTCATTAGGGTAGCCGTCCTGTGTGACCCAACAATAGGCATTCAATCGGGTAGCAGTACTGTTTGGCCCAACAATAGGCATTCATTCGCGTAGCCGTCCTGTGTGGCCAAACAATAGGCATTCAATCGGTTAACAGTACTGTGTGCCCCAACAATAGGCATTAAATCGGGTAGCAGTACTGTCTGGCCCAACAATGGGCATTGAGTCGGGTAGCAGTACTGTGTGGCTTAACAATAGGCATTCATTCGGGTAGCCGTCCTGTGTGGCCCAACAATAGGCATTCAATCGGGTAACAGTACTGTGTGGCCCAACAATGGGCATTCAATCGGGTAGCAGTACTGAGTGTTCAAACAATTGGCTTTCAATTGGGTAACAGTACTGTATGGCGCAACAATGGGCAATTCAATCGGGTAGCAGTACTGAGTGGCCTAACAATGAACATTTCAATACGCGTGGCCCAACACTGGCTGGGTGAGAAAGGACGGTATCGGTTGTCGCATTGTTATTTTCAGGTTCAGAAATAAAGTCTGAATGTCAACGGGGAACTAACTGCGATTTAGGAAGTTATTGTATTGTTTAAAACAAATTAAAATCTACATTCGTGATCAACTCACGTTTTTCCGGGACCAGCCGAATATTTCATATTGGCGTATGAACAGAACAGATCTACTTTAAACAAGAATGACAACTCTATTTCTGTTTAATTCAAACACAAATACACATTACTTGAGCTCTGAAAAGTTGCTGATTTGAAAATGTTTTAACCTGATTTGAACATGTTAAAACATGTTTCAATAAGTACCAATAGAGACACAAAAATGGCTTTGAAACATATCTCAATCTGAAGAATTCGCGGAGAGTCCTATCATGATTTAGTGTTAGCGGTGTCTACCAGTTGTCTCAAATTGCACGCGTAACCTGCCTGCCATCCTTCCACGCGTTTTGATTGGTTTGTCGGATTTTCACGCATGACTTTAATCGTTGGGGGGTGGGGGGGGAGTCTTCCTGGAGGTTACGGAAAGGGGAGAGTGGTGTTGATTCTCCCGTGATGACACGAGTGGGTCACGAATGCACATCCACTGGTGTCTCTTGAATAGAGTCGTGTCACTTTGTGTTGAGTATTCCATAGGTGGAGAAAGCAGCAGTTTACAACAGCGGAAGTGACACGAAAGGGCATATACTAGCCCCCTATTGAAATCCCTTTAAAATAAACTGTTCACATGAACTACATATGATTGTGGCTGACATATGGTAATGCATATTGAATCCTGTGGATTGTACGTGAAGAGTCACGTGGTGTTTGTGTTACTGATTGATCGATCGATTTATCGACTGATTGATTGACTGATTGCAGACTTTCTTCTGTTCTGTTGTCCTTGGAATTTTTGTTACAAGGTGTGTTACCGTGTTTGCAATCTTTACCTGCATGACGTGTGGGCACTGGCTTCACATGTGCTGTTCAATGTGCCCAAGGGTGATGGTGTAGGCATTGGCTTCACATGTGCTATTCAATGTGCCCAAGGGTGTTGGTGTGGGCACTGGCTGCACATGTGCTGTTCATTGTGCCCAAAGGGTGTTGGTGTGGGGCACTGGCTGCACATGTGCTGTTCAATGTGCCCAAAGTGTGTTGGTGTGGGCACTGGCTGCATATGTGCTGTTCAATGTGCCCAAGGGTGTTGGTGTAGGCACTGGCTGCACATGTGCTGTTCAATGTGCCCAAAGTGTGTTGTTGTGGGCACTGGCTGCATATGTGCTGTTCAATGTGCCCAAGGGTGTTGGTGTAGGCACTGGCTGCACATGTGCTGTTCAATGTGCCCAAAGTGTGTTGGTGTGGGCATTGGCTGCATATGTGCTGTTCAATGTGCCCAAGGGTGTTGGTGTAGGCACTGGCTGCACATGTGCTGTTCAATGTGCCCAAAGGGTGTTGGTGTAGGCACTGGCTGCATATGTGCTGTTCAATGTGCCCAAGGGTGATGGTGTGGGGCACTGGCTGCACATGTGCTGTTCAATGTGCCCAAAGGGTGATGGTGTGGGGCACTGGCTGCATATGTGCTGTTCAATGTGCCCAAGGGTGTTGGTGTGGGCACTGGCTGCACATGTGGTGTTCACTGTGCCCAAAGGGTGTTGGTGTGGGCACTGGCTGCATATGTGCTGTTCAATGTGCCCAAGGGTGATGGTGTGAGGCACTGGCTGCATGGCACTTGATTGTCCCCTCAGCAACAAACAAGAAGTTGAGGCATTTTCTCTCGTACGGAGTTATCTCCCTTATCCCCTTACAAAGCCTATGTGGCTACCTAAACTACAGTATTAAAGCAAGTGAACACGATACTGGGTAAACGTTAAATTTAACTGAAGAATAATGTTCTCAACAGGTTATAGAGATCAAACCTTTCTTATCTTGTTCTCTTCCGTTTTCGCTCTGGGTGGTTTTCTCTTGCACTGCATCCTGATGTTCCTGTACCTGTAATGATGCAAGTTTATTTTACCCCACTAGATGAAGTATGATTTGTGGTTTGAGCCGTACTCACGATCGAAACAAATTGAGTATAAAGAGAAGAAATTACTTCAAGAGTTGAGTATGTGATACATATTTACTCGACAGCTTGAGAATGTAAAAGAGACTTTTCCTGTCATGTCGAGTACACAGAAGAATATTTACCTGAACAGGTATAGTATACAGAAGAATATTTACCTGAACAGGTAGAGTATACAGAAGAATATTTACCTGAACAGGTAGAGTATACAGAAGAACATTTACCTGAACAGGTAGAGTATACAGAGGAATATTTACCTGAACAGGTTGAGTATGCAGAAGAATATTTACCTGAACAGGTAGAGTACACAGAAGAATATTTACCTGAACAGGTAGAGTATACAGAAGAATATTTACCTGAACAGGTAGAGTATGTAGAGGAGTATTTACCTGAACAGGTAGAGTATAAAGAAGAATATTTACCTGAACAGGTAGAGTATACAGAAGAATATTTACCTGAACAGGTAGAGTATAAAGAAGAATATTTACCTGAACAGGTGGAGTATACAGAGGAGTATTTACCTGAACAGGTGGAGTATACAGAGGAGCATTTACCGGAGCAGGTAGAGTATACAGAGGAGTATTTACCTGGCAGGTTTTGTATATAGAGGGATATTTACCTGAAGAGGTTGAATATACAGAGGAATATTTACCTAAACAGGTAGACTATACAGAGGAGTATTTACCTGAACAGGTTGAGTATACAGAGGAATATTTACCTGTCATGTTGAGCATACAAAGGAGTATTTACCTGGCAGGTTTTGTATACAGTGGGATATTTACCTGAAGAGATTGGATATACAGAGGAATATTTACCTAAACAGGTAGACTATACAGAGGAGTATTTACCTGAACAGGTTGAGTTACAGAGGAATATTGACCTGAACAGGTAGACTATACAGAGGAGTATTTACCTGAACAGGTTGAGTTTACAGAGGAGTATTTACTGAACAGGTTGACTATACAGAGGAATATTTAACTGAACAGGTTGAGTATACAGAGGAGAATTTACCTGAACAGGTAGACTATACAGAGGAGTATTTACCTGAACAGGTTGAGTTTACGGAGGAATATTTACCTAAACAGGTAGATTATACACAGAAGTATTTACCTGACGGGTTGAATATACAAAGGAGTATTTACCTGTCATGTTGAATATCTTGATTTAGTGTAGAGAGGAGTACTAACCCGATTGGTTTGAGTATTCAGAGGAATATATCCCTGACATAAAAGGAGTATGTTCAGACACAAGGATGCAGGAATACATATGCTATTTACCTTGCTCTCTGTTGCTGCTGTCCTTGCATCTAAAAACAGAAATAAAGTGTTTTCATGTTATATTCAGCGTTTAACTGACAACATATTTAGTCGATGTAAATATAAGTGTTGTTTAAAATGAAAAATATATTGATTGATGGTGTACCTGTTTAATAATTGCACTGATGATTTGCAAACATGCATGTGTTTATCGAAAGAAATCTCCACAGTAAGACCTATGTACATCTGACTACTTGAAATATGTATTGCCTCACTTATAACGTGGACTTTGTACGTATAAGAAATACCTTTAAGTTGATGTTCCAGCTTGATTTGGTTAGCGTCCTTTTCCTCAATTACCTTACGTAGCTTTTGTATCTGTAATAATAAAATGATGGTGTTTTGGGATTATGCCAATGAAACAGACAAACTGAATTATTTCTCATTTACAGTCATGGCCTCTAAACAATATCCATACCGTGAAACCTCTTTAATTCGGACGAGTGTGTATGCACAATTCACAAAGAGAGAACATTTCCATCAGAGCTTTAGAATATTGTCGCATAATGAAAAGTATACTGTCCACATGCAATCGGCTTGTATAGATTCTAATGCATCAGTCAATGACCTCTTGCTGAAGTGTTTATCTACGAACAGTTCTAATAAACTACCAAGTTTCAGCCTATTGTGAATTCACAATTTTGTTGTACAAAATTTCAACTGCAAACTTTGATCTTTAAGATTTCCGAAACCACTCATTTAAGTCAATCATGCTAGATGAGATGATACATTTGATAAATAACTAAGTTTATATGATGTAGAATGAGCTAAACAGGCCTTGACACGTCTTCAGGCGACATGGGGTAATGACTGATTTATGATGGAAATATCTACTGTCACCTGGTTAATATGTGCTGATGGGAGTGAGTCTTTCACCATTAATATGGTGAGGGATATGGAGTAGTACTTGCCTGTTTCTGTAATTCTATATTTTTTCTCAGTTCATCTGAAAATAACGAGAGTGTATTATTATTTGTTTTAGAGGATAGCATTTGTAATATACTCTATGATACAGCTGCAAGAGTTACATAAAAAGCTCATGTCAATGAGAACAATTTGATGGTTGTAGGCATTTAAACCAAGTATATATCCACAAAACATTTGTAATTACGTATGTATATTCGCCTGATATAACTTTACGCATTATGCATACCTTCACATTGGCGCTTTTGTTTTGCTTGTTCGACTTCAATTCTCTGCATCTGTAATAACATTAGTATTATATATTTGACATTCATTCATCTAGTTATGAGAAGGCATCCACACCATAGCTGTGCTAATTATACAAATATGTGCTCATAACTAGACGTATACTGTAGAGTTTTTGACTTCGTATCAGTCATCAGAAGGGAGTCTATTGTTTTATATATATATATATATATATATACATATCTTAATGTCTTTTGGTATGGCGCAGCCGGGGATGGATCCCCATAGGAAAAGAAGATAATGATACCGTAACGTCGCATCATAATATAATACAGATGTTGTTATCCATAAAGTATAGGACCTTTCCCTAGTATTTGTTTATATCGAGGAGGGAGGAGAAACAATCTGTGTTGTTGTATACTTAAGACGAGAAGATCAGTTCCCAATTACATATATTCGAATATAGTAATTCTATATTCTATACATCAAATTTCATCCATTAGGAGCGAGTACGCAATATAAACTATAATGGTTTCACCAGGGGGAATTTTCAAAATGAAAGTCGAAAAGTCGATACAAAAACATTTGCACGTTCAATGCTCTTCAAAATATAATATATGAAAACCTGCCTTTTCAGCGAGTGCTTTCTGATCATTCTTTCGATCTGAAAAAGACATGATTTCTGGTTGTATTTAAATGGAATATAAATCTGTGTCTCTGTGATATTCCTCCATTTAAAAACAGTTTACATGAAGAATACACTAAAATTATACATTGGACTTTCATCACCTGTGTAACATAAACCAGCTGTTCGGCCAGCTACATCAGTATCAGTAACTTATTACTTGTGGTTGTTTTTCTCAATTAGTTATGGCGAATAATCCTGATATTACAAACAAGCAGCTTTGACTAATTAGTTCACTCAATTACTTTAAGGACTTCCCAAATTCAATGAAAGGAACAAACCTGAAAGGTCATTTCCCAACTGAAGAACCTGTAAACAGAAAATGTGTCAAAAAAAATCATACCTCTTAATGTTCATTTGAAACATAGTGTAAAGTACGATCTGAGTGGGCTATATCTGCTCCATCTACTGACGAAAGTCAACATACATTCGAGAGAACGATCTGCTCTAACCCAATACAGACTTCAGGCAACCTGCTTCATAATTCTGAAATCGCCTTCAACGGCGTTAATGTTCATAAGATGCTTAACTGTCATTTCAGTTTATTGTTGAAACTGTTTATCTAAACTTGCAGAGGCCTTTTAGAAATGAACCACTCAAAATAACATAGCATTAAAATATATTGTGATATGTTAAACATTCTTCATAAAGCTATTGCAAAGGTAGACATACTTCCTCGGACATGCACCCACATTTCATGTATGACAGTTGTTATAATATAGACTATTACCCAAACGGGAGTAGATACTCAAATAATAAGCCACTAACCCCATACTACACTGAAACATTGAACAGCCAACAATTCCACGATAGTGGTTGAAACATGCTAAGTCTGGAAAGGATCTGTTTATAAATCCCCCCCTCAAAACGCATTTGATATAGCTCGGACTGGTCTTAACCCCAGGAGACAAGAAGCACTCTCTCTTCAGTCCTCTATCTCTTCCGGTCTCCTTGTCTTTAAAGTTGTTATAGCTGCGCTTGGACATCCCTTGCATTTAATCATCAGTAGAAAATGGTTGAATACTTTCAAATACAAGTCTCAGTTAGAGCTGTAACACCATTGACATGGTTGAAACCGAAGTAAAAAACTATTTGTCCCTTTCAATACAAGAGCATCGTCTTTTTTAGTGAAAAGAGATATAAAGCCGATAAAAGAGCCTTGCGAACACATCTGCTGTAAACACCTGCACCTAAATACGACGCAGTGTATTTGGTTGAACTATTTGCTCTGTCGTTATTCAATAAAAGTGTTGGAGGGAGCTAACACATTATATCAGCGTTGTAACGTCATTCATCTGAGCAGCAGGACCCGACTTTCCGACACGACTTGGTGCTTTACGTGTTATAGTAACCTGCCACGTGTAAATGTTTAGGAAATCAGGTGAAATAGTCTTACCAATCTGTAAAGTTTCGCAATGCTCTCCCTTTCAGCTAGAAAAGAGAAGAAATAGTTACACCTTGATATTAGCCAATACAATGAGAAAAAATGTGTTTGCATATAGTACGTGAAACAACCTAGAAATATTTCATGTGTGGTTATCATCTAATTCATCTATTTAGATAGCTGTAGTTTCCATGTGACATTACTGGTGTGTAACTGACTTGAAGAACTTGGAAATGTTCTTACCTTTTACATCAGTGCCATATTTTGTGAGGTTCTGTATCAGGTCCTGCACCTACAATTAATACAAGAAAATATCCTGAAGTCAATTGTCTCTGAATCGTAGATCCTGCGAAAACATGTATGGAACATACAAAATACTCTATATTTTGTCAAACTAGTCAGATGCTAGTGAAGGATCGGTCTCATTAGAATAAGATATCACATATGCTTGCCGGATATTCTTCCCTCACTCGCACCGACGAGGTTAAAATCCTCGACAATGATTGGTTGTATTGAAAGGTTCCCTGACTCGAACTGTTATCACAGGTGTCCTCAGATCTCTAATTGAATATGTCATTGTCAGTACACCACAACATGAACCTTATTGTATTGCTATCTATCTTCTGCTATGTTTAGGTACACTATGTTTAGGGCCCGTGAAGGTCCGGGTTAGAATATTGATCTTCAGTAACCCATGCTTGTCGTAGGAGGCAACTAACGGGGTCGGGTGGTCAGGCTCCCTGACTTGGTTGACACATGTCATCGGTTCCCAATTGCGTAGATCGATGATTATGCTGTTGGTCACTGGATTGTCTGGTCCAGACTCGATTCTTTACATACAGCCGCCATATAGCTGGAATATTGTCACACTATGTTTAGGTAGCCTTCTTGAGTGACTTCACAATACATACATATAACTTTTGATGTAAGGTACCTGTTTTTCCAGGGCCGGGATGGCATTCGATGTATCTGCAGATTGAAATGAAAGACATAAGACATCCTTGATGCTTGAGTATGGTCCTTGTCTTCGTTGGCCAAAAATATTGCCATCTGTATAGTCAAGGACTCAAGTTTGGGTCTATATATATGTCAAAATGAGTTCCAAATGTTGCAGGTGGAAACCATGGTGATATCTAGGATGTGTAATAATAGTGCGTGTACTAATATTCCTTGATTTTGTTTGACAGTTGCTTACCTGCTTCTGGTTACTCACATTCCTACGAGCAATCATTGAGTGCATCCATTAAATGTTTGGGTTGGTTGGTTTTTATATAATCCCGTTCAATGATGAACATTGCTAGAATAGCTGCCACTGAACATCCCTTGAAATGTTGGGATAACTAATGACTGCTGACCGATTATACTTGTCCTGGCACCATTTAGTATGCATCGTGTCCACTAGTTATTCAACCTACCTTCAACAGTATCTTTGAGCACTTCAAGTCTTATTTCAGCTTCTTCAATCTGCAAATGTGATACAACCTCTCAGTGCAATCACAGATGTAGTATATCATATCATTACGGGTTGATTCCTCAGTTGAAACTAATACAGAAGTTAACCGGGACTCAGTCCGTAAACAAACAACAAAGCAATGTCATAATATTAACAATTCCTCCCTGGATATGTTGTTTGCAACACTATATTTTATACGCATGTGTTAATACAAACATAAGTCACACAAAATAGCAAGATATAAGAATTAATGTTTTACTTTGTATGTTAACACCATTTCAATGTAAAATGTTCTCGTCACGATATGGCTGAAATATTGCCGATGTGACGTTAAACATTAACTCACTCACTCACTCACTTTGTATGTCAAGAAATATTTTTTAAAATTAATGAATTACCTGTTTCTTTAGTTCCGGTATAACGTTTTCCTCAAACTCTGTATGAACAAACAAATACTGCTGTCAGCTTTCAAATCAATTTAGTGATTAAGTAAATGTTTAATTTCAACTATTTCACAACATTAAAAAATAATCTTTAAAAAGGGTGCACTTGCAAAATCATTATTCCACTTTTTCTTTTTTAAACTTGGATACACAATTGACAAATCATCTTGTAGTTTGCTACTCACTTGCTATTTCGTCTTTTTTGAGTTCAATATCTTCCATTAGCTTACGTATCTGGAACATATCTTACATATTTAGCAACATAAGATTGTGTGATTGGATGGGTTGGTTGACTTTAATGTCACCTTCAGTCTATTTAGTGTGTGATTGGATGGGTGGGTTTCATCTTCATTCTATTTAGTGTGTGATTGGATGGATGGGTTGACTTTAATGTCACCTTCAGTCTATTTAGTGTGTGATTGGATGGGTGGGTTGACTTTAATGTCACCGTCAGTCTGTTGTGTGTATAGTTGGATTGATGGGTTGACTTTAATGCCAGTTTGTTCAGTGAGCGTTGACTTTAATGTCACCTTCAGTCTTTTAAGTGAGTGGGTGAGGGGCTGGGTGGATAAATTTGGTTTAATGCCAACTTCAGTCTACTTGGATATCAACATTGCAGTTATATGTTTAATAGCTCAATAAGGTTTCAGCATCAACAGGTGCTTTTCTTCCTTCCTGGCTGCCTTATATTTTATGTCGTGTGTCAGACTAATCAAGACACCATTCATTGATACCCCCAACAATCAGAAGCATCCACTTGTGCCGCATTCTACCCCAATCAAGCTGGGTTTACTTCTGATAGACTTCGAATTCTGGTGCCCGGGTCTGCAATCACTATGAGGTTATGCCGGATTTACCTGGATAGCTTCTCTGACAGATAGAAGGTAAAGGCTAAATTATTGCTTGTTATCAGGGACGTTGGAAGAGCTGTCTTTGGGGTTTAGAAGACAGTGGCATACTGAGTAGCCTAAGGGATTTCTCTCAGCCTTTCCCATATATGATACAGCAGAAAGGCAGCAGTGTGTTTGTAATGTGTTATCTTTCTGGAAGAGGAACCAGCCAAGGTTGACGAGACCCTTTGTCTAGAGATCTGACTTGGTTGTAAAAGACAGCCCTTGTCCAAAAATGCCACCCTAGCCTTAAAGGTCCTGGTCAGGTTACAGTTATATACAACCCCGATATTGAAAAAACAAATTGGCAGCAAGTAAAGGAACGTGAGGCATATGTATGTATTCCTATATATTATATCATTTGGTTATTTTTCATCAAAAAGGTGGTTCAGGAAAAGTCATTCCCAAATGAAGACAACTGGTGAATACTGTCGCCTTCTCCGCTGAAATTGAAGGCCTTCAGTAAATATAAATTCAACTTGAACGAAGAGCTCTGTTTATTAGTGATAGTCTGAACAATGATGTCTGCATGTCTACAACACAACAGTAAGTGTGTATACTCTCACACAGTTAGGTGGGAGGGGGGTAGAATGTCCTGGCATGCTACTGTTTTGAGGACTGGCTCTGTAAATCTGCTCGGCTCTGATTTAGACAACTTCGTTCATTCTATATACATTGTATATGCATCTTTTAGAATTGTATTTACCTTCTTCTCGATGTTTTGTATGTCCTCACGTTTATCTGAAAATGTAACAGATCTGTCAGTCATTTCCTACATTTTATATTGTAACATTCAAGTTCTGATAAGAAGTCTGAATACCATATATACCAAATATGAATAACTATGTATATATTTGACAATACACCATGGATACTTTCAACAACATTCAGTTTTCTCTAAGTAGAAAACACATTATCAGTGGAGCAACTGACTTGTGAGACTGTATCAAACACGTATGTTGATCTTGAAAGTCTTTATTATGTTTGAACATTATATTTATCAAATTGTTAAAGAAGTATAATGCTGAGGCAAGTTTGACATTTCAGCCTTCTTGTTTAATGTTTTGCTGTGTAGCTACTTACATCTATTGGTAACCTGATCGCTAGGATAGCATTAGAACACTGCATTCCTAAATGTCAGACATCCGCTGACCTATTGGCCATGAGAAATGCGGTATCTATGGAATACTGTAAGGGACATTCTCGCGATCTCGCATTCTCGCGATCTCGACATTTGGAAACAAGCTGGAGATCGCGAGAAAGCGAGAAAATGAAATTCGTGTTTTTGTGGCCTTATTTGACAAGTCAAGATTGCGAGATTGCCAGATTTGACAGCATGTACAAATGTCGCATTCTCGCGTTGTCGACTTTTGACAAAAAGTGCTATGTATCAAAAACACGATAATGCGAGATCGCGAGAACGCGAGATCTGGCCAAAATCTCGCATTCTCGCACTTTGGGCATTTTTAGCTTGTTTCCAAAGGTCGAGATCGCGAGAATGCGAGATCGCGAGAATGTCCCTGACAGTATTCCATAGGTGTCACTTGTTCTTACAAGCGTATTGTGTCAGGTGGGAGACAGTGTGGTATAATGACTATATACACAAAGAACTAAATTAAGCACCCCCTGACATATCTCCCGATTGAATGAGCCCCGATCTTAACCCTTTGGAGCATATCTGGGACATGATTGGTCGTCGTTTGTAACAAAGGGATCCTCTTGTACGTAATCTGCTGCTTTATACGAGGAATGAAGTTGACTGGCCCTTCAGAGGGTTAAAAGGCTGACAAGGGTTATGAGGAGGGGAAACAGTCACATCAAGGTTACACTCGGTATTGTCCTTGAATCGTGTAAGACAATCCAAATAACATTTTGAATGTTCACATTCACCAATAAATTCAACATTAAACATTCGAGGGCCAGACATGGTTTTGTATGAAAATCAGAGTTTTTGGTTGTTCTTTTTAAATCAGCAATTATCATCATAAAATCATTATGAATTCCAATCATTTTGCCGTTGTTTATGAGTAAAAAGATCATACGGGTCAGAAAAACTCTGATACCACGACAAGTTTTATGTACGTGTTGAAAACTTGTCATTGCAAAAATACAGTGGATGCTTAATTAAGTTATTTGTGTATGTTTTCTTAGATTTTTGTTCAATAATATATATTTAAGACTTGAAATGTGCTCGTTCATGGCGACACAGAATCTAAACAGAAAATCAAGCATATTTCGTAGTCAGAAACTGTCTAATTTTTCGCCTTGTGTTTACTATACACCAGGGAAAGAAATGTATAAAAACAGGCATTAGATAATAAGAATGAACATTAATGTCATTATAAAAGTCTGAATCACTAAACTATTTCTTTCCTTTTTGAAGAATACGGACGTATGTGTGTGTGATACAATGAGTGCGCCCCAGAGTTCTTTTACATGTAATATGACATATAATTTGATGGGAATTACTCACCTTCAACTCCAGATTTTGAACATCATCTCTTCTCTCTGTTGATAAAAAAATAAAAATCACTTTTAAATGAGTTAAATTTCTCGAATGATTTGTATATGCTATTTATGTTTTATAATATAACATATGCATCACTTAACGTATGCATTACTGATCTTAAAGCTTGTTTATACGATAGTTTCGTACTTGTGATGCTGGTATGGATAACAGCCCTACATCGACATACAACTGCCGACAGTGTACTTTCATGATCGTCTACATCACTGCAGCTCTGCTTCTTCTTGTTATATTTCCCCCAGTCTGCCATGCCCCAAAACTTACACGTGGGTGAACAGTTGTCCAATAACTTGTTGAGTTGGAATAGTTTCTGTATTTGTTTAATTAGACATTTCTTGTGGTCCCAAAGGCAATTTTATCCCACCGTAGATTTCAGGCAGTCATCCATTTTCGGTGTATTTACGTAACATGTGGATATGCTTTGATGGACACCTACCTCGTTTTTGACGCTCCTTTACCAACAGTTGACCACGCAAATCCCGGAGCTAAAAAACAAAACCATGTGTGATTATTTCAGATCATTGCAATAGATTTACATTTTTCTAGACCCTCTCCCAACTCTCTCTGACACGTCTCTGAAATTCATCCCGCGGATGGAGGGCTTGTCTCTCGAAGTGACTTTGAGATAAATGAGCTATACGTAAATAATTCCGAAACGTTTCACACGGTGCAGCAAAGGATCGCGAGAGTAGTATTCAACTGTGAACCTAAAAGTGCTCCACATGCAAGCTTTGCATGGCTTAGTGCATTAAGCAAATGACTGTACAGGACGCCCATAGAGTCATTGTGTGAAAGTGTTTCAGTAGATATTCAGTCGGGGGCAGCCATGCTCAATGCTTAGACTTAATCTATATTCACATATTTGAGTATTATATATATAATGACTTTGATGTTTAACAGTAATGTGATTATCGTCATTACTCATAAGAATGTATATATTTAACCATGATGATTATGTTGTATCTTCTATTTAATAGTAATGTTATATTCTCGAACTCGTTGTGTGGGTTTACATATCGGTATCACCCATGTATGTAAGTAGATATATTCATAACGAAATGAATGCATTCACGGGTATATTTCCATACAGGTCTGACATTACAAATAGAACCGACAACGCCTCAATATATTGCCCCATAAAGTGTCCTCGTGGATATTTTATCGGTTACACAACTGAATGAGTGTTGTGTGGGGCAGGGTGACCTCGACTTTCTTCGGGCAGCTTTGTGATCGTTGTTTGCGATTCAGCCCTATGGGGTCGACAATGTGCAGTCTGACAGATATCTCTAATGTTCATTCAAAAAGATATTGTCAGTTTTGTGAAGTGCTGAACATTAATGCTAGTATTATTATGATTATAATCAATTGACATCAAATTCGTTTAATTGTTTCATTGCCTTATTGCCTTGGTGTAACTATGTCAATCCAACTATTAGCATAATTATTTGTTAGACTTTCATTAACAGTAAAGTCACGCTATATGTTAGGTGTGCACTATACCTAGTAGAAAAGCCTTTTATGAAGAGAGACCAGCAAGCTCATGCTCATTTTAGAAAATACGATAACACTTTCTAACCGAGACTAGTGGCGAACCATTTCATAACGGTACAGCCTCATGAATACAAAAAAGTAACCCAGAATTTATGCAGCTAGCTTTCAGTCGGGTAGTCTCTAAGTCTGTGAAAATGAATGAAAACCGCTGTCGTTTCTTGGTTTCCAAATGCGAAACGCGTGACAACGACTCATTGTTTAATTCACTGACATCATGGCAAATAGTACCCTGGCACCCCAACCATACAATACCGTGACAATGTAAAACAAACGCACACCTGTGTACCACCAGTGAGTCTTTCACATGGTTTCTTCTTTAATGTTAGGTATCGACAGTTCACATTAAGCCCTCCGTCCACGGTCAGCGTTTCAGGTCGCCTAAAATAGTGGTGACGCCATGAGGTTCAACCAAATAGGCTTTGGTCTTTTTATCAAGCAGACGTCTGTTGTGCCCTTAAACGCACAATGGTCTTAAGTGCACAGAAATCATAAATAAACATGTGTGGGCGGAGCTTATGTGCCCACGTCAAACGTGTTTCGTACGCACTACTTCTCTCTTGAACACGGAAGTGTCTTTACTTCTGCTGAGTCGTGTAAAGTTGAATAGCGTGTAATGAGAGTGCATTTTCCCCTACAACATAACAAAAACACCATTTCCTTCCATAGTTACCATTTATAAATATTAAAGAAAATATAGCAATATTCAAATGTTTGTTAAAAGTTCGATCGAAAACTTGCAAGGGACCGTTCATAATGTATAGCTGGGCTGGGATCGAGTGATGATGATTTCTATGGAGAAGCACGTACAATGTGAATAACAGTCCCACCCCACCCCTCTTCCTTCATGAAAACACACAAAGTGCATGTACATGTATACAAAATTGATGACACTCTCTCTCTCTCTCTCACTCTCTCTCTCTCTCTCTCTCTCTCTCACTCTCTCTCTCTCTCTCACTCTCTCTCTCTCTCTCTCTCTCTCTCTCTCTTTGGGAGAGTGTGAATTCTACTCTTTTAGGTGGGGTGGGGTAGCCTAGTGGTTAAAGTGTCTCTCATCATGCCGAAGGCCCGGTTCGATTCCCGAAATCGGTACAATGTTTCAAGTCCATTTCTGGTGTCTTCCGCCATAATATTGGAATATTGCTAAAAGTGGTGTAAACCCATACTCAGTCTTTTAGCAGGGTGGTGGGTTGTCTGCAGGTCTTCCCTGTTGGAACTGAATTTGGTGTTTGGTAATCAATTCTTGGGTTATGTGCCATGTTCTTTATCAATAAGGCCAGACCAATGTATTTTTGTTTTACATATTTTTGTCCTCAGAAGAATTTCTTGTAAGTTTACATTTTTGATCAATAAAACATTAGGATTTTATTTTTGAGCGGGGAAAATTCACTTTTATTTCTTTTCGTATTCTGGAAAAAATACAACTGGAGGATACGTAAAACAAGAAATAGAATTGGTCTGGTCTAAACTTGAAATATAGGTGTGCTTATACAGTATGCATGAGAAGCAATGTATACAGGACACCTTTAGCACAGTTTACTAAAGGTAAAAGATGCAAATGTGTTATGTGACTTTTAAGATATCAGAAGTTTAAACATTTGGGACATCTTTGAAATAGTGTGAAATGAGAGATAGTTGGTTATGATGCCTCTATCAGTATCATACCAGTCACATCCCAATCAAGGGCATCAACTTTATATATTTGCATTGGGGTAGGGAGTCAAACCAATGCCTGAGGCATCACATAAGTTTATGCAGCTGAACATAGACAAGCATGTGCAAGGTGAACATGTCACAGTGGACATTTTCTGTCCAAGTATGGACATCCATCAAATCCTGCATGGTGTTAGTTGTTTGTGTATTCAGAAATGTTGTAGAGCATCAGCTGACCAGATAAAAACTGACCATTGTCAGATTTCCCCATAAAATGACAAAAAGAAATGAGTTTTGTTAAAGATGTTTTATTACTAAAATACAGAGCAGCCTGTCTTGAAATGGGACAGGCTAGAAGAATTTCTATGAAATGTAATTATATGTAGTACCGAACTCATTAAGTTGGTTCACACACATATCTTTATGTCTGTTGAAAAGACTCTTACAAACAATTGAAGTAATGCCATTGGCTCACCAACGTGAAATGTGTAAATACGTGGAGGTTACATGTATATGGCATTGAACATTACACCCATCATATTTGTGAAAAATATAAACTAGTAAACAAACCAAGGTAGCTATTTGAAAATATTTTCATAAACAGAAGCATTCCCTACACCCCATTCCTTAAAAGTATTTTCAAGTGTTACAAGAATAATTTAAAACCATACAACTGATTAAAATCCAACAATAACCAAGTCTATGATATAAATACAAGTATTACAGTCACATTTCACAATCATCTCTGGGAGGGTGGGGTGTGTGGTGGTTTAGCCTATAGCTAGTGGTTCAAATGTTCGCTCATCACCCAGAAGACCCTGTTTTGATTCCCCACATGGGTACAGCCCATTTCTGGTGTCCCCCGTCGTGATATTGCTGGAATATTGCTAAAAGTGGTGTAAAACCATACTCACTCACAATCACCTCAAATGTCACCTTGAATGTTGACATAGCACTAACATTAAACATGGCAGTAATTATTACCAGACATGAAAATAAGGAATACCTTGCATCATATATGAGTAATAATAAGTGAAACATGTTTTACAGCTACATGAACACTGACATCAACTTTAATGATCATGACCAAAACCTTCAAAGAACAGGGTATCCATTTGAAAGAAGAAGGCACATGTCATGTTTAATTATGCATGTGTGAATTCCTTCTTAGAACCTGTGTTGTCTTGGGACATGAACATTTTACCAAAACAATTCCCGGGACTAATGAAGAATAATCTCATTAATCTTTGTGTTGTAGTCATTATGGAAACAACACTGTTTCACTGGGCTGCACATCTTGTTTATAAATTATTACCTTTATCAAATGATTTGGTATGAACCCATGATACGTAACTACATTTAACAAAATGTCCTCCAGAAACAATATTTGGTAATATTTGGGAAACTGTGTTATACATCAACCGAGATACATTAACTCAGTTAATATTTTATGCTTGTTAAAAAATAGCAACAGTCAGTTTCAATGAGATAATAATAGCATTAGCAAGCTAATTTTCTTTTGGCAGTACAAACTTAGTCCAACAAAAATCACAAGGGGGAGGGGGGAGAGGAGTTTGATGATTTTTATGGAGAAGCATGTACAATCTGAGTAACTTAAAATTTATGTACAAAGGAAGTGCCCCCCTCCCATGTACAAATACAATTATGCCCCGCTCGCCTTCACATTAATTTGTATATTTATAATTTAAATATAATTATGTACAAAATTGCTGACCCGCCCGGGTACATGTGTACAAAATTCAATGACTACCCCTACCGAGATACATTAACTCAGTTAATGTTTTATGCTTGTTACAAAAAATAGCAACAGTCAGTTTCAATGAGATAATAATAGCATTAGCAAGCTAATTTTCTTTGGCAGTACAAACTTAGTCCAACAAAAATCACAAGGGGCAGGGGAGAGGAGTTTGATGATTTTTATGGAGAAGCATGTACAATCTGAGTAACTTAAAATTTATGTACAAAGGAAGTGACCCTCCCATGTACAAATACAATTACGCCCCCTCCCTCGTCTTCACATTAATTTGTATATTTATAATTTAAATATAATTATGTACAAAATTGCTACCCTGCCCTGGTACATGTGTTCAAAATTCACGACTTACCCTACCTCCCAGAAGAAAACGGGTGACCCTCCTTAAAATCATAACCAACCAACCAACCCACCAACCAACCAACCCACCAACCAACCAACCCACCAACAAACCAACCAACCACCCACCCACCCACTCGCCAACCCACCCTCTGTGCATCAACCAACCAA